CACCGTCGCCAGATTTTATGTCCGAGTGTGAATGTGTGTGTCTGTTTCTGTCCTGAGGCGGCGGTCCAGATGCCAGGTTGTTATGATGACTGAGCAGGTCCCTTCGTGTGTGTGTATGTGTGTGTATGTGTGTGTGTGTGCGCGAGCGTAGGACGAAGCAACAGTGAGAGGGATGGAGGAAGTAAATCTCCTCCTGCTTGGCTGCACATTCGCAGTCACCATCATCACTCTTCCTCAGGTATGACAGCGGCTCTCCAAAAGTGTGCGTCTGGTGTGTTTGCTCTGCCTCGCTGACAGAGGTTGGCCCGCGACTCGTGCGCATACTAGCCGGGTTATAAAAGTTCCCGAAGCCTTGTGTGTTTGCAAGTTACTGTCAGCGCAGGTACACCGTGTTCTTTTTAAGTGTCTGAGCTCGGCTGATTTGGCAGAGTGAGAGAGAGAGGGAGAGTGGGAGGGGAGCTGTCAGCGTAGGGACATTTAACGGGTGGGAGTTGTGTGTTGATGTGTGTTTGTCTCAGGGTTGCCCAGTATGAGGGGATTAACCCTGTGGGAGTTCGACTGTGCTCTCATGTGTAGCCAACTGTGCTGTCTGCCACGGCTTCACACATGCAGCAGGCTCGAGCATTTCTGCGACGCGCAAGACCACACAGTTCACTTCATTACTTCTTTCGCAAACCTTGTGTATACATTCGCACATCATCCGTCTCCCCGTTGCTCTCTTTCGCCATCCTTCACTCTGGCTGTGTCCAGCCACCGGGGGCCTGCGCAGATAGTGTTGTTGTGACACAGACAGACTACAGCGGTGACCTTTAAAGTCGAGCGCGGATGTGGTCTGGGCCCCGTGGAGGGACCGCACGGAGCTGACAAGTGAAAGGAAGAGTCAAGACGGAGAGGGAAAGGTTCAAGCTTGGCAGGGAAATCCTCCTCCAGTCTCCATAGCAACGGTCACACCATTATGACCACATTCCATCACACTCCTCGCCAGGCTTCCCCCTGTTTGTGTGCGTGTGTGTGTTTTACTGTCTAAAAATGTTTCTCGCCAACCCTCTGCGCCACTCTGTGTGAAGCCACAGTTCCCCGTGTTTCGGCAGCGCATTTATTTACTGTGCGCTCTGAGCTGTGTCTAACAGGTGCGCCACCAGCACTGCTGAGAACAAGATAAGATGAGATGGAACAGCATCACTTCATCATCCCCTAAAGAGGAATTTTATTTACCATGCGTCACATTTAGTAATGGAAGTGGCTCAACGCTGCAGAGAAAGGCAGCGTGGCCCATTGATAGTTCCTTGGCATTAGAAGTGCAGATGGCTACCGGCACAAATGAGCATCTAAATGGCTTAGTGGAGCACTCGGGGCACATTGAGACGGCCATTGAATGAGAACATGAGGCTCGTTGAGATGGGATGGAGAGGATGCAAACAGTTCTGCATGATGGCCCGGGTGAGTGCTGGTTGGCAGGTCTGCAGGGGACCAAGGAGGACTGTCTACTCTAATGGACAACTTTGTCTAATGACCAATGAAAGCATCAGGGTGAAGGTAGAACGAGGGCTACCTGCAATGCCCTAATTTGTTAAAGCCAGCTGTACACATGGTATAAATTGGCTGTTTATGGGTCAGCTGACATTAAAATCCCTCCCTGGTCATTCATTATGCCCTTCCTGCCTGAAAATGGGTAATATTGAACTCATTGTCACTTCCTCTAGAATGTGTTGATCTATTAAGTCCCTTCCTCTTTGTCTCCACACCACTCTGCTACTTGCTGTAGCTCAAGCACACAGGCTCACCTGCAGCTCTGCTCAAATACTCTAAAACTGCTGTGTTCTGCAATGGAAAGTTGTAATACTAGAGTAATTCAGCGATACATGTTTAACCTGGAAACTGATTGGGATAAAGATCAGAAAGCTCAACCTTGCAAGTTGACAGGATGGTTCCTTTGATTTGTTTCTTTGTTTCTGAATGTGAGTTTTTCAGACTCATCAATGCACTGCAGCTTCAAGGTGGAAATGCTCAGCCATGGTGTTGGCTGCTTATGCTGCTAATGATATGTCTTCTAGCTCAAACAAACATTATACTGGTAGCCTTGCTCTATAGTAGATATGTTATTATTAATAATACCTGGTAGTCTAACACAGTATCTACACTGAAATGTAATTTATGTGAACTTTTCGAGGATCAGCTGTGCCGCAGATTGTATCTTTTACTTGCTACACCTGTTGCGCAGGTACAGCATAGGGTTGTGACAAGACAAGTAGGTGAACTTTTTTTTTTAGACTGTTCTTTCTTCAGTTTTTGGCCTCAACACAGTGCTGTGAAATGTTTTTATGAAATCTGTAAGTTCACATCTACAGCTAGTTACTGGCAAAAAATGTGGATATGCTCATCAATGAAATGAAATGAATGAAATGAAAAATACTTTATTTATCCCAGAAGGGAAATTCAATAATCAAGGTTATATTGTTGAAGAACTGGATGTCGGTAGTGTAACTTCATGACCCATTCCTATGTAAATGACTTGCGTACACCTTGTATAAAATATCAGATTAGAAATCTTGTCTATTTTAACATTTACTGATCTGTTTACAACGGGTGTAGTCAGTTTTGTTGACTATAATGGAAGCGTGGTGTTGCAGCATCTGCTCGGCAAACTGTCTGCAAATGTAACACATTCATATAATCTAAGTTTACACACAGTTTGGACATTTTTGGTAATAACTGGTCTCATATTGAAGGATATGTTGATATCACTTAACTTTTTGACCATATCAAAGTGAAATTCATGTCATTGATTGAATATTCTGTTTTATAAATATTAGTAGAGTCATTAATGTTTAATCTGTGTTGTTTTCGCTGCAATACCAGCAGTCTAAAACAGACTTGGCAGCAAATTGAGACCAAACATATTTATTGCATGCAGGTTCCCATGGCAATGCCATGCATACAGTTTTTCTGCAGTTACTGTAAAGCGTTATTTCATCACATTATTAACGCATGACTCAACAGGTTTGCAGATGTAACACAGTCCATAATATTAAACAATATAGTCAGGAAAATAATTATTAAAAAGACATACAGCAGATTTAAATCCCAAAAGAGGAACAGAGCCTCCCCTGGAGCAGGTTAGCGCTGCAGTATCAGTTGCCACAGTGAGCTAGCCAAGTTAAGAGAGAGCCACCTTTGTGACATTGAAAACTCTGAATTAATGCTTAACATGCCTCCCTAACCGATTAATCTCACTATGTAGTACACCCCTCCGATGTCTTAATTATGTGGAGTTTCAGTACCATAGCTGTCAAAAAGCTTAAATTAACTGCGTGTCCTGCCGCATGTAGCTCTGTTGATCAATCAAGCCCACAGTCATCAGCGCTTGTGTACCCTTGAATGCATTCTGTTGACCTTCAGTTTATCATAGACATGTCGGGTCTCACAAAGCTTCATCTGACACGAGATGCATCACCGGACGTCTCTCCTCATGTGGTCTCCCCCCCGTCTCCTCCCTCGTCTCCCTCCTTTTGTTGTTTTTGTGTGTGCTTGTGCTTGATGTTGTCATTTCTCACTCAGTTGTGAAGCAGAGGTGGTGCCAGGCCAAGAAGAAATGACACGTGTTTGACAGGAAACTGTCTCGGGGGACGAACAGGGCAGCCCTCTTTAACTCCGCTCTGCTGCCTGTCCAAGAACACACACACACACACACACACACACACATATATACCAGCATGAGCAGAGACAATAGACAGGCAAACCCTTTCATCCTCTGTTTTGTGACCTTGAGCCATATTCACACACTTGTCAATAGTTTGGGATATTTAATTTATTTGTTTGGCCGTGACAGGACAACACTGACGTCTATCTGGGAGTCACTTCTGCTGCAGGCCACGGCAGCCACTGACCCACGACTTGATGTGTTAGTTTTGAGGGGAGTATTCTGGGCGAGCGGTTTATGCATGCACGGTTGAATTATACGGCTGAATAAATGGAAAATAGAAATCAATCATGATACGAACTGGGGTCTTCCCCATGCTGAGAGGATCCACTGGCACAAAAAAATGTAATTACCCTGAACATCTTTGTCCCTGACAATAACATTCATCTTTAGTGACTGGACTGCTGCCATGCAGAGAAGAAAAAAAACCCACATAAAACTGACAATCCAATCTCAAACCATTTGCAGAGTGGCGCGTAGACTAACAGCTGACAGGGACAGTGGGGGGGTTTTTTTGTTTCTTCACCACTCAAGCAAATGGATTGACTCTCGCATTGATCTCATTTTATTTTTCAGCTCTTTCGTTGCTCTATTTTATGGTCTCGGCAAATGTTTGGTCATATGTAGTTCCCAGTTTTCCTTGTGCTTTAATAGTAATGAAATATGTGCACACGAGGAGCTGGGCCAGAGTGTGTGCATTTGTACAGACCGTTCTAACAGCACATATGTATCTTTAATAAGAAGTTCACTGGTGCTGTTTCTGTATTCATAACAATATCTTCATCTTAAAGTATATGTTTGACCTGGAAGAACAGAGCAGTCATGTCACCTCAACCCAGAGGTGGCAGATTTGTGCCCGTTATACATCACACTTGTTGCACATTTGTCTCAACGAAGTCCAGGTGTTTTCCATCTTTGTCAACAACAAGTGGGAAATTTATCCATGTCAGGCTTCCCTGTCTTTGTGTTTGTATTGGAAAAACGCGCTATGACAGTTTTATTTGTTGACTCCAACCTTCTGGTTGCTTTGGTTGTGTAAATCTAAAATCTAAAGTTCATTTTTTTGACTGCCTGCTCCTTCTGGCAGCAAAGTTAAAATTGACCGCTCCCAAGACCCATATCAAAGTTGGGGGTGGGAACAGTTTTAATGGGAATGACTCTCATGCACTAACATGGATGCGGTTGGTAAAGCTTGGGTTACAACACACACAGACGGAGTGAGACTTACCCATATTGCACCTTTGACTAACTGTATTTTTAACATATACTGTTTTATTTCTCTTTCTTTTGTCCCTGTCAGGTCTTGATGCTCACCGATGAAAACGCTGAGAGCTTCCTGCACCAGCGTCTGCCCGTCCTGTCCTCCATGTCCCAGCTGGGCGGTGTCGCCACAGCCTATGTCTGCCAGGACTTCACGTGTTCTCTGCCCGTCACCGACCCCCAGGAACTACGTCGACTGCTCCTGCACGGCACCACGGACATGCCGGCAGAATGACAGCAGAAGAACTGAGTGACTGATATTTAATGAAGAAGCTCAAAATCTTCAAAAGCTGAACTCCTCAGATCTGCAGCCCCAGCCTAGCTTCTTCTTGCTGTATTTGGCTAGTGAGTCTGGCTTTATTATGAATAAACGCCAACGCTTTAAAAGCTAATATACTACGTTGATAGGTAACATGAGGGCGTTTAACCGCCAGTCATTCCAGACCTATAAAGAAAGCCTATTCTGTGTTAGCTACACCAGCTAAGTATTACCTCACATATCAGCTCCAGTTTTATTTTGGCAGACATAGATCAGTGGAGCCACGTTGAAATTCAGGTGTATAAATGTCCTTATGAGGAAATCCGCACAGCAGCAGTGGCAGCATACTGAAGTGATGTAGCACTTGTACCAAATGTCCTGGCTTGACTATTAGCCCAGAAGTAAACTTGAGGCTCTTAATAGACCATAACCTAAGACCACTTGGATGAAGTGAACCGATAATATTTTGCAGATGAACCGAGCTGCCCTGTCGTCCTCTCCCAGCGCCGCGTTCCAGCCTCCCGCTTTTCACGTCACATGGATCTGACAGCGGAGGCCTTGTGCATGTTTGTGTTTGAGTGTATCAAAAAGGTTGGTTCGCAGGTTTGTATGTAACCACGGTTTAGACTTTTAAAAGTCTACCGTGTACGTATTTGGTTTCATTTGTAGTAACGTCGCAGCGAACAAGCTGCTCTTTGACAAGCTTCAGTTTACCACCAGCTCGCACTTGTTTATTTTCTGTTTTCTGGGATTCAAAAGGATCCTTTCCCTGCTGCAACACTCACTTACGTCTTGTGAATTTTAACTCATGGCTCAGACATCAAGAAATATGCAGCATGTATACGCACAACCCTGAATAATAAACATATTTGTCTTACAAGCAGTGCCCATTTCATTTTTGGAATGGATGCTTTATGATTAAGATCATCTGGGAAAAAAAAGGTGGCTTATTTTTTTATTTTTTTTATTTTTTAAGCTTTAAGAGAGACTTGAATAAGATATGTTGGGTATTTTGGTGACATTTTTCTGATATGTTTCCGTGTGAAAGCCAGTCCAGGTTGGGGAAACTCCATCAGGAACGTGTCCCAGTAGTTTCTCTTCTTCTGTGCTATAAATACTCATCGTAGACTATTGTGTATTCTTTTCCTCCTCTCTTCCCCCCTGTAGGCTGGATGAAGGTAATGTAAACATGTGTGTAGCTGTGGGTCGTTGCGAGAACAGGCACATGGGAGAGAGCGCATGAATGTGTGTGAGCGGAGAGACAGATGGACTGCTGATGTTGAGGCGAGGGAGTTTGTCCCGGAGGGTGCCGCTCTGGGCTGCCGGAGAGAAGACAGGAGGAGGACGAGGAGGAAAGGCTTCCATCGTGACACAACGCCTGATTCGCATCCTTCACCTCGCCTCGAGAGGTGAAACCAATAGCCGTGTCATCCACCGACGTACTGCGAGAACACCTACACCATCTGCACTTGTTTACCTTTTGATACTCGCTCTTTTTTTTTTTCTTTTTTTTTACATTCGTCAGCCAATTCTACCACCCCCCCCTTTCCCTCTTCTTCCTTTCAGATCTGGCGGGGGCCTTGTCGCCTCAAGAACGAGGGAAGTCGATTTGGCAGGCGACTGCTTCTTTGGAAGAACAAGGAATTGCCAAGAGAGGAAAAAAACAGGGCGAGGAGGAGGGATATGAGGCATGGAGATAGACAGGGATAGGAGAGGGAGAGCCATCACTTTGTTTCATTTTAGCTCTGGAGTGTCCCAACCACACTTTTCTTTACCTGTCAGATTGGGTACAGTCATGCTTTTTGTCACTTCAGAACTCCTTTTCATGTAATTCCACCAAATGCCTCCACGGTCTTATCTCCCTCCTCTCCCTCCCTCGGTGTCTCACCCTATCATCTTCCACCAGGTTGGGACCCCTCTATCTTTGGTTGCACACGTCTCTCCCTCTCAATACCTCTGCTGTGCTACATCCCTCTAAGCATGTTGGAACTGCTGTCTTCTCATTTATTCAATCCTTTCTCCTCGCACTCACACACACACACGCATCATTTGTTATCCCCCTCCCTTCTTGAATTCCATCACTCCTCTCATTATTGTTCTCCACTAATTGTTTTGATGAGCTGCACAAGCTAAATTTTAATTAGCCCTGAGATTAGTTTTTGACCCCAGCTAACCTGTCGGCCCCTGCTAATTATGAAGCTGTAATCTACATGCCACGGATCTGAAAAGATATTCATAATAGCTTCATCTGTGTAGCTCTTTTATAGCAAAAAAAAAGGCTTACTTGGTTCCTGAACAAAAAGGCATGTAATGAAGCTATGTAGTGAAAAGTAAAACCAGATAAATAGTAAAAACGGTCTAATATTATCCAGGAGATAGAAAGTCATACAGTTAAAGCCAGTTTTTGAATGTTATTGGCTGACTTTTGCATTAATATGTTCAAGTAGTGATAGTTTTTTGAATGGCTTTTCATGCTATATTTAATGCATTAAAAGCTAGAAGTATTTGGCTTTAAACGTATTGCAGTTAAATGGTCAGAAAGATATCATAAAACCACTTCATTTATTGTATTATATGAGATTAACAGAACTTGTATTCAGTGAAGGAACTCTAAAACTGGGGTAATGTGTTCTCTTCCTACATTCTGTGTAGGAAGCCTCGCAGCTGCGTTTTGGATGAAGTTAAAAAATGATTTAGTTGAAATAAGAGAGGTGTAATAGTCAAGATGGGGATTAAACAAAGGTGTGAATAACTTTGTCAAGTCCTGCTGATGTTGTTTTTACTGATCCTTTCCTAGCTGATGACAAAACTAAGAGCCTGCAGCTGTGCCGGCAGCTGTATGAGGCTCATCTGAGGCACAGCAGCACTGTGAGATCAGCGCAACCACGTAATGTTCAGCATGGCAAGTTCACTGTCTAATTAGATGTACAGCAGTACTAATGGAAATGTTAAAACCAAAGCAGGAAGCAGAGCAAAAGACAGCATCACCTGCTAAGTAGAGGTTGTTTGCGACGTGAAGCTGCATTGATTAATCAATTTGTTGCCAACTAGTAAATTCATCACCATTGTTTTGATAATCAGTCGATCAGTTTGAATATTTCTTTTTTTAAAGAACAAAAGATACACTTCTTACACACAATGCGTCTTCAATTGAAAGATTTTCAGGAATCTTTGTACAGTGGCATGCAAAGGTTTGGGCACCTCTGGTCAGAATTTCAGTTCATGTGAACAGTTAAGCAAGTAGAAGATAAAATGATCTGAAACATGGAAAACTTAATATTTTAAGCAATATCAGTGTGTTGTTTCTGTTTTGTACAATTTTTGAGTGAAAAAAAATGAAAGCAGCACCCTGCAAAAATAATGGGAACCCTTGACCAAGGTGTCAGACCTTAATTAGCCTGATAGAGTCATGGCTTGTTCAAAATCATTGTTAGGAAAGACCCGGAGATGCAAGCTTCAAAGCTATATAAATACCCAGACTCCTCTAACCTTATCCCAACAATCAGCAGCCATGGGTTCCTCTAAGCAGTTGCGTAGAACCCTACAACTGAAAATGATTGACTCCCACAAAGCAGGAGAAGGCTGTAAAAACATAGCAGGTGCAGATGCAAAGCGTTTTCAGGTACCGATTTCCTCAGTTTGGAATGTAATTAAGAAATGGCAGTTAACAGGAACAGTGGCAGTCAAGACAAAGTCTGGAAGACCAAGACAGATATCAGCGAGAACTGCTCGTAGGATTACTAGAAATGCCAGTTAGAACCTCCAGGAGGATTTGGCAGACGCTGGAGTTGTGGTACACAACCTGCACGAATGTGGCCTGCATGGAGGAGTCATCAGAGGAAAACCTCCCCTGCATCCTCGCCACAAAATTCAGTGTCTCAATTTTGCAAAAGAACATTTAGACAAGCCTGATGCATTTTGGAAACAAGTCCCGTGGACCGATGAGGTTAAAATAGAACTCTCTGGCTCTCTTTTTCCTTTTCTGTTATTTTGAAAATGTAAAAGACGAAAATTTTAAAAAAAGATTTTGTTTAAAATGTAGAGGGAATGTGTCATCTATAACTTCATGCCTTTTGGAGATCTCTTCATCTCCCACTTGCTTAATTGTTCACATTGACAGGAATTTTGACCCAAACTTTTGCATGCCACTGTGTCTGTATAACCGTTATGAACATCTTTGTGTTGTGGACAAAACACAACACTGAAGAAGGTCAGTGTTAACCTTTGAAAAGCACAGACTGACCACACAATTTACTGAGTAATCAAGAAAATAATGAACAGAATAACTGAATCATTACTTGCAGCCCTATTTTCCTGCTATGTCCAGACCTAAAACCAGGTTCGGAGATTCTCAAACAGACTGATGGAAGCGATACAGCATAAAATGTACCGCGTGTCATAATTGCGTGTCTTGTTTTGAATGCCGTCTGGTTTGCAAGTTATGTAATTTGCAAGTTCCAAATGTTTGAACAAATTGATGTCTAGACTGCATTCGTGTGTGTTTGAGATAAATAATGAAGTGACAGAAAAATCTATAGTGTTATATTAGCGGGTCTGTGGATACGTGTGTGTTATGCAATCTCCTATTTATCAGAATGTGTGTTTATTTCATGGTTTCGTGGATTGACATCACTGAGTTATGCCACAGTGTGTGTGTGTGTGTGTGTGAGCAACAATCTGTGTTGTGGATGAAAGAGAGTTTTTTTTTTTTTTGTAAAGCAGGGCTATCTAAGGTTGTGTCTGTTGTTGTCCCTGCTATCAGATATGGCTGCTGTGTTTCAGTCTGTGTGATAATGAGGCCACAGGGGGCTGAGAACGGCGACACACTAACTTGGAGAGAGGAGGAACAGTCGGAGGCGGCGGGGCTGGGGGGGTGAAGACATGGATGCTTTTATTCTGCTCTTCTGTCACCAAACTCAAAAAAAACAAATGCATCTTTAGATTTTCTCTCCAGTCTGAGGTGGTCTTTCACAACATTTCACCGTCTACGCTGCTTAAGAAGCTTCATTTTGAAAAACTTTGACACGAACTTCCTGTTTAATTAAAAACTTTTCTGTTTGTTCCTGTGAAAAAAGAAAAGCAAAATAGCATTGCGTATGTGTATTTTTGTGTAAAGATCTCCTATATATGAGCTATGTGATCACCGCAGAGAGTGTTTGGTGTGTGTTTGAGTGTGTGAGCCCAGACACAGGTATCCCACCCCTGGCGCCTGTCTGATAAGCTCGAGAAACTCCCAGAAAATCAATACTTCTGCTCATCAGCCCAGGTAGGTACCGTGGTGATTACACACAGACGACTTACAGCAGAAAAACACACACACAAAAAGTAGAGTTTAAACCCAGAGAGGAGTCTGAATATCTTGATGTGTCGTCTTCCACACAGAGTAAGTAATGCAGTTGATGTGGTATTTGCATAGTAATGTGCAGAAAGCACATTGCATGTTTTCCTAAGTGCTTATGCATGTTTTAGACCACACAATAGAAGTGATGCAGGAGGGAAAATGAGCATTTGAATTTTAAGTCATTTTATGCTGAGCAGCAATGCAAAATAACTCATTCTGCATATAGAGTGCTCCACAAGGATAGACAAACAGTGTTGTCTCTCCTTGTTAGTTGATGTGTGAGAACTGCTCCCATTTTCTGTAAATCTGTTGTTTCTCTGTTTTGCCAAAAAATAGATGCCTGCAGCAGCCAAAAACTACAGACCGTACAGTCGTCCTCAAATGTATTCATACCCTCCCATTAAAGAAGGAACAAAACAGCTGTCGCTGAAATAAGTTGAAATCGACAAAAGTAATAATAAATAAAAGTTTAATGAATCATGACATTGCTTTTGAATCATGGTTCAACAGAAAGATGAACAGAACACAACAACAAGCAAACA